AAATAAAACAAATCCTGAAAAAATGCATTATTATTTAGCTAAAGCTGATGAAGCCGGTAGTGATCGTGATCGACATCGTGTTCTTATGCAAATTGTACAAAATTTATGTCGACAACCAGAAATATCTAAAACTAATTTCGATATGCCAACCATTTATTTACCTAATTTAGCGAAAGTAAAAGAAATTTTTATATTGAAATATATTTATAAGCCAAGTTTTTTTTAGGAAACACGTTGTGCAAATCAAATTCATGAAGTTTGTTCAACAATTGATCATGCTGTCTTTAGTGGTGTACAAAAATCACTCAATATGTTACATAATGATTGTAAACGATTGGAACAATCTATTAATGAACGATTAGTTTTACATGAGTAAAGAATAACTTCATCTGTTTTTGAATATATGTTTTTATTTAATAGAAAAACTCAAATTAAACATCGATCATGGAGTATAAAATTATCGATTGTTCAATTTATTTCATTAATACTTGTTATACTATCATCTATATTACTTTTACGACGTTATCTTGTAACATCTCATCATAAAATTCCATTGATATATCTTGATGAATCATCAACATCTTGGCAAATTAATTCTGCGCTTGTAAGATTATAAGATAAAAAATTAAATTTCAATTCTTTTTTTGTTTTAAATTAGAATTCAATTGATAATTTTCTTTTCTATCCAGCCTATCCATTATTGTTAATAGCTATTTTTATCAATGGAATTATTTTTTTTATTGGACATTTTATAAGAAGGTATAAATAATTGATATAAAAATATGTACAATATAATATTTTATTCGTATATTTAGTCGACAAAAAGATGTTCTTAATGCTCGAGAAAAGAAAATGTTTATGACATTTAAAAACCATCTTGAAAGAAATGTTGGTGTTAAACAAGTAAGTTTTTCTTTTATTATACTATTGTTTATTATTTTTTTGATTTTATATTTTCAGAAAAATCTTTATGAATCATTTTTGGCTGAAGCAATTGATTAAAAAAATCATTTTTCACTTTATTTAAACTTACATGTCTATTATTATTTTTCTGATAAATTTCAATAAATAAATGTTCATATTAATGTTTGTTAAAATATATAACAAAAAGTTTTATTTTCATTCTATTAATTATTCTTTGCAAACAAAAGAATAAGATATAAATTCAATCTTCTTGGATACGAAAAATGTTATTACATAAAGTTTGAAAAAAATAAATCGAAATATGTGAAATCCTATACTATCTGACGGATAGAATAATAAAAATACTTGTTTGTCGATTACTTTCAGTCACATATTGTTAACGATATAAGTGATTCCCAGAAAATATTCGAAACTAATCTTTTTGATAGTTGTTCAATGACAGATATATTATTTAATAGTGTAGTTTCATTCAATAATTGATCAGTTTTAGGAGCAATCAAGGGCATACTAGTATTTCGAGGTGAAATAGTCGATTTTTTAATTTGTATTTGAGGCAATAATGCAGTTTTCTTTGATGTAGATCGTTCAGATGGCATAAGTTCATTAGATCTTACATAGCGAATAATAAATGGTACTAAAAAAAATGATTCAAATAATAATTGATAAGAAGAATACTGAAAATTTGAATTTACATGATAGTTTTGATGATCGTTGTATATTCAGTGTTTGAATTTTTACAGCTTTCGCTGGTGCTAAAATACAACTACATTCATCTTTAGATGATACACTTTGAACAGCATGAGAAACTAATCGTGTTGTTGGTGTATATGGATCTTTTGTCATTGGTTTGATACTTTTTTCTCGAGTAATTATTGTATGATATTCCCATTTCCATGGATGATAACTCGCTGAATATTCAGAGTTTTCGGTTCCAATAGGAATTGTCTGTTTATCATCATGTTGCAATTGAATAGAAGTCTGAGTTAATTCTATTTCAGAACAGCTAAATAATTATAATAAATAATATGAAATTTTAATTAAATTTTTTTTTATCAATATACCGCTGTTGTTGAATATCTTGTTCAGTATTTGGCTTGATATTATTGGGTTTTTTCAGATTTCGACGTTTTTTAACTGTTTTTGATTTAATTGAGTTTACTAATTTATGTGTCATTGTGTAGTTCTTACTTATATAGATAAGTAATACAGAGAAAGAAATACAATATTTGATACTACGAAATATGTCTTTGACTAAACCATTAATATATTATTAAGATATATTCAAGATTTTTTTATGAAGGTTTATTTTTGCGAAAAGAAACGTTTTAAATATGAATATACGTTATCAAGTTTTTGTATTACTCTTGAATGAAAAAAACAATTAGTCATAAATGGCATTACTATTGAATTGTAAGAATACTTCAATAAATCAATTAAAATTGTATAAAGTTAAAAAAAAACATAATATTTTGTAACAAAAATATATATAAACAAAGGAATTGTATTGTTTGAAATCGATCAATAATAATAACAATTTTTATATTTATTTACGATATAATATAGTCAAGCTTTTCAGTTAGCCTGGAAAATCAAAGATGTAGATTAATTCTATATTTCATTCAATCATAAAGAAAATGATTTGAGATGAATTTTGATTTTTCTTTTGTTTTGTATTTTAGAAAATCTTTGAATCTCGAAATAATATTAACCGTTCTTTTTCAATAAGTTAAATTATATCGTGATGAATTACTCAGATACTATTTATAGATTTAACCTAGACACGTATACATAAAGGTCACTATTCTGTTCGTTGTAAATATCCTGCATTATATTATCAATATGAAACGAAAATGTATATACGTATTCTTTAAAATATGAAAAAAATATCCAGCAATAAAAATCAACCTTCCGATATTTTTTTAACAAATTGAGTAACAAAAAAACAGTGATTATAAATACATGTACTCACCATGCAAATTATTAATCAGAGAGTTATCATATGTATGTGTATCTCCTATATTAATTAATATTTTTTTACTGTCGAATATATTTACACAAATTAAAAACGACATATAATTGATATTAATCTACGTCAAAAATTGAGGTAATATATTGATCGGGTGTGCTCACATGTATTAATCAGATAAATAATTTGCTTTCAAATTATCAAGGTTACTTTAAGATTTAGCAAATACTATTGGTTGTAATAAATACTTTTAAAAAGTATGATTGTTATTCTTATTTATTTAACAGGTTAGCATACTTATAGGTGTGTCAAATGTTAATAGAAAAACCTATATAAAAAAAACATTTACACTTGATTATTAACTGAAAGCCAACTCGTGTTGATCGTCATAAACAGATAAAACTTAGATACATGATCAATTATTATTGTAAACAAAAATAATTATGGTAAACATCTCCTTATTTCAAATTACAAGTATGATTATGTTTTTTAGTTTTGATTTCGTATAATCTATGAAATAATTTGCAGACCAAAGAGATATTCAAAGTAAAGGATAGAATACCCAATGACAGACGATATTTATCTAATCGCTGAACTTTTTGGCCTTGTTATAGGCTATATATATTTTGCTATATTTAGTGACTTAATAAATTGACTAGTTAAGTATGTTCGATAATGAAAAAAAAACTGTTAGATATTTTAACCTTCAGTAAGTTTGATAATTGTTTGAATATTTTCTTACATAATTAGAAAATGCAAAACAACATCACATAATTTCTTCGTATTTTTTGGTAGTTGAAGGTTTTTGATTATAAATCTGTAGAGAAGAAAATTAATATTTGTCTGTGAGAACAATTTTCTACTATATTTTTTTATTACAAGTTATTAGACAACGATTTTACGCTTTGTTGAGACATTATTTGTTATTGATAAGAAGTTATTCTTGCAACCTTCATATATTTTCTATGAAAATTATGCGTAAACAATCATTAGTTATTGAATATTTGTATTGAAGTAAAAAAAAGATTTTAATCTTTTGTTAAACAAGAAAGAAAAGAAGAATAAAGAGAATTGTTAGTATTGTAATAACTTTATTCATTATTGAATGTTTCAATAGTTTCATTTGAATCTGTATCTCTATATAATTGATGATCGAATGTTATACTAGGAGATACACCTGTATAATTATCATAGTAACATTTCGTTTTATAAATATTTACTTGGCTGTTAGGTTAGGAAAGTAGATAATTACAGAGGAGAAAAAGGAAAAAAAATGGTCATTTATAAGACTGTGTATAAAAATATTTGTACATCATCAATGTATGTATATCCTTGAATGTATTTTATTTGATAAATGTTTCTTTGTTAATAATAATCGAAATAAACAACAATTATAACAATAGCTATGTTTACGTGTATTATTCTATGCATCTAGAAAACTTGCTGTCCCTGTATCATATCAATATGACCATGACAAGATAAATTGCAACTACAAATGTGACTGATAGCAAAACACCTTCATTGACATTCTATCATCAGTTATATCGGCCATCAACAATTACAAATGAGTCTTTGAGGGTAAATGTTTGCCCTATAAAGTATGATTAAATCATATTAGAAAGATTTACTATTGAATATAAATGAAAATAAACATGTTTTCAAGGCTGAAATTTTTTCTGTTCTTCCATGACTTTGACTTACACACCCGTAAACATGATGGATGATCAATTGAAATAATAGATGAATGACTGAATGAATAAATATGCAAGTGATGCGAACCATACCCAGTCGTATGTAGAATCATTTGGCCTTCGATCACAATCAGTTGTAGTACGAGTGTGTAATTTTTGTCTTTACTTGCGTATCAAACGTAAAACCGTGCATGCCGATACAAGACGATGTCGACGAAAAGTATTGACGACAAGAAAAAGAGAGAAAGAAAATTCCACACCCGACTAAACACGATATATGAAAAAACAGAGACACCATCAGCTCATTCCCCCATTACATATAAAGTGATTTGCATTATCTATATTGTACAGCTTTTTTTTTTCATTAGATACATATAGCTAAGTTGTAAAAAACAATAAACAAGGTGATGTGTATAAATCAAATCTTTCGATCAATCCTATTTTTATCTTTTAACTATCTTTAGATTATAGTTGTTTAAGGGACATAATATTTAGTTGAGAAATGTCTTACGAAGAAGCATCATCAGCATCATTCTTCCAGAGTAGTTCTGGTGGAAATGGATTAAATGGAAGTAAGTTTACTTTTTTGTTTAAGAAAAAAAGAACGAATTCATAAAACTATATATACATGTACCTAATATATTCATTTTTTATTGTTTTATATTTTTTAATTTTCAGGTGAATTTGGTGGTTCTCTTGGTGGAGGTTTAGAAGGTGGAGCACAAGAAGGCTATTCAAGCTATCAGTCCTCATCTTCAGCTGGTTACGGAAATGGTGAAGCACTTCTAAGTAGTGGTGGAAGTGCTAATAATGGATTTTTCTCGTCATCATCATCATCGTTTAGTGGACTTGGCGGCGGTTCTCAAACAAGTGCTAATGGTTTAGACGCTGGTTTCGCACAGCAAAGCCATATAGGAGTATCGTCAGCTAGTGATAGTGGTTTTGGTTCTGGCAATTTCGAACAACGTTCAACCGCATTAACAACTTATGCTACCGATGCTCAAGGGCTCTTTAAAGATCCTAATCCCGAAATTGTTCGTCGACCAGCTCCGGGCGGCCAACAAACATATACTCAACGAGTTATCGTTAAATTTTTACAACCACCACCCGTCCCTCCTCCAGGCGTATGTATTTCAAAGAAAAAATTTTCATATGACGCTCAATATAAAAATTTAAAATGCTGTATTTTAGCCTCTTATCATCAAAGAGGTTCGTCCACCTCAACCACCTCCACCTCCTCCACTTTATATACGTACGTAAAACTTTAATTCAACATATGTAATCATTTCTAGATTTAATCATATAGGTCAACGTCCACCACCACCACCAACCCTACCCCCAATTGTTATTCGTGAAGCACCACCTAAAGTACCAGCAGCTGTCGGCACACAAAGTAGAATATTCGAAAAATAAATCGCATAAATATAACAAAGAAATTCATATTAACTTTTAGTTATTACAAAAATGCTTCCACCTTTACCTACACCGCCTCGTTCAGTAATTATTGAACGTTTACCACCTGTACCACCTAGACCACGTGATGTTATCGTTGAAAGATGGCTACCATATAGACATACACAAAAACGTCGTGTTATTATTCAACGAGCGCCTCCTCCAGTATTACAGAAGCCACGTAACATAATTATTTAGTATAAATATAACCTTGATAAAATTAAGTAGCAGTTTTTACTAATTGCTATTTATTTTTAGTTACGAAGCGCCAAAAGCTCAAGTTGTTCGTCGATTTCAGAATTTGGGTGTTCAACGTGCTAATCCAGCTGATTATGTAGCACGTTATGGTGCTCAGCTAGAAGATTCTCAAACACTTATTTCACACGCTAGACAAGCTGGTGTTGTGGAAGATATCGTAAGTCTACTATGATTTTTAAAATTCTTAAATAATTAGCTTTTGAATAAACAATATGTGTTATTGTAATTTTGTTTTTTCTTTCTATATTTAGTCACCTCCTGCCGGTGCAGCAACGAGTTTTGAATCTTCTAATTTTGAAAGTTTTCAATCCAGCGGTGGTAGTATTGGTGCAGCTGGTTTTGATTTTAATTCTGCCTCGAGTAATGGTCTATCGGCAGTTGGAGGTGGTATTGGTCTTGAATCGATTAATGGTGGCGGTGAACTCGCATCAAGCAGCTATGAAGCATCTTCATCTTATAGTACAAATGCTGGCGGTACTGGCGGCTATGGTGGAGGTCTTGAAGCGTCATTTGGTGGCCTTGGTATTGTTGATAATGCAAATGCAAATGGTATTGGTGGCGGTAGTAGTAGTTATGAATCGTATTCTTCACAACAAACATTTACTCAATAAAGAGTGTCTTTCATGGTTTCTTCCAGTATAATAGACAATCTCATATTTCAGAAAAAATGCAAAAAAAAAAGAAATTGTTATTCACGTTCTTTGCTGGTTTTTTTTTCATTTACCATGCATTTTATTGTTTCATTTTTTAAATTTTCTTGTCAATCTACCTAATAAATACAAACGATTGAATAGTTAACTATATATTTATATATTTATTAAAAAATAAAAAAAACGGCAAACAAACTAAACATATATATATATAAGTTTATATTTTATTTAAAAAGAAATTGTAATTCTATACACCCTCTATCAAGGTAGTTTGAATAGATTTGTTCATTTGTTAAAAACGATGAACCAATCGAAGAATATCGAACGAACAAACGATAATTCTTTTGTTTAATATAACGATTAAAATCTCAATATACTACATATATATTCATTGAAACACCTAGAAATGACACAATCTCGTCGTAAAAACCTTTCGGCGCCTAAAGCAAACAAACTTCATCATTGCTCCAAGGTAAAATGTCACCGTTCATTACCATTGAATCATCCAATTTCGTATACAAATGGTCTATGTGAACGACATTTTTTTTTAATTGATCTTCCTTCAATCGATGACGATAATAATGACAATATTAATAATAGTTATTTGTCTAATGAATCAAAAGAAAAGCAAATCCAACAAACAAAAAATCAATATGAACCATTACGAGGTGATACACGAATAACACGTGAAGTTTTTGATGGTTGTCAATGGTAATATATATCATATATATACGTACATTATATTTTCAAGGTTATATATTTAACATAGGCATATGTATGAAGATACAATTGATCATGAAACATCAAAAATTAGTCAAATGATTGATTCAAACCTTGGAACTAAATCTTCAAATATTAATAATGAAACTTTAGTACAAATATTTCATTTAGTATCTAGTTACAAAACAATTCTTGATGAATTAAAAGAAAAACATTCAAAATGAATTAAATTTTGTTATATAATAGGAAATGATAGAAAATTCAGATAGATATATTTTGTTTTAATTTTTATTTATTAGGAATTAAATAATATTTTTGTATTGCATACATTTCAGATGTTTATTCAACCAAATGGATGAGAAAAGAATTCAAAGTAATATTATTATTATTTTTAGAAATAAACTGATATTATACGGAAATTTCTATTTATAGAGCTGTTAAAAGAAGCAGAACGAATTCGTCATGCTAATTCACGAAATCCAAAAGATAAAATCGATATTTATCATGAAACAGCTGAAGCATGTCGATCTGTTGGTAATTTATTTCTTCATAAACAAATATTTAAATATAACAAAAAAAATTTTATCTAGGAAAATATGATGAAGCAATAAAATATTTTACATATGCATTACATGAAGCACAATTATTAGATTTACGTGAAGATATTCTTTATTGTCATCGATTTTTAGGTGAATGTTATTTTGCTAAAAATCAATTTCATACAAGTGAAAAACATCATTTAAATTTTTTATCATCAGCACAAGAATATGCTGATGATGAACGTACAGAACAAGCATATACATGTTTAACACATACGTATTGGGTATGGTTAAGTTATTTACAAGATGATGTTTTACATAATGTTGAATATGATCAATTACCACGTGAAATATGTAAAAAAAGTCTCGATGCAGCCAAAAATAGCTTATTAATGATCGAAAAACTTGATTATCAACTTAATATTGATATGAAAAAAAAATCTAATATTAAAATAAAAGATCTTGAAAAAAAACAACAAGATTTAGCATTAAAACGTGTTCGAGCTTATATAAATGTTGGTAAATAAAATCTTTTAACAAAAAAAAATAAAACTTAATATTAATAATAAAAATTTTTTAGCTAATGCTATGAGTGAAAAATATACAACTGGTGATAAATCTGGTGCTAGTCTTAAAGCTTTAAGTCAATATATTAAAAGTGCTATAGAACTTGCCAAGTAAATATTATTTTTAAATATTATCTTGATCTAGTCGCTCCTTCGTTTTAGAAAACATCAGTTACATGAAGAATTAGCACGTCTTCATTCATCAGTATCAACTTTTTATTTAAGTGTACCAAATTTTTTACAATATAAAAAAGAAATTATTGGAACTATGGAACAAGCTATACGTTATGCTCAATTAGCGAAAAATATCAGTGAATATTTATCATGTTTACATGATACTGCTCAGGCACTTCTTCTGTTCGATGATTATCAAGGTGCAAAAACGTATCTTTTAAAAATCTATCGATATAGAAAAAATGAACCAATCAAAGAAAAAGCTACACGAGATTTAGTTGATGGTAGAAATTCTATACTAATAATAATATTTCCAAGGAAAAAACACATTAATTATTATTTTAGTTCAAAGAATTCTTACTGGAATTGAAGATCGATATGAACGAGAAAATGATTTAAGAAAAAAAATGAAATTAGCAGAAAAATGTGCTGATACATTTTCACATCTTAAACGAAATGAAAAAAGTAAAAATTATTATTTAAAACAAGTAATAAAGAAATAATTTTCTATGAAAATTTTTCAAAAACGAAAAACAAATTCTATTTAGTTAAAACATGCACAAGAATTAAATCTTGATGAATGTGAAATGGCAGTTATTTACTCATCACTTGGTAGTATATGTCAAGATTTACAAGAATGGCAAACAAGTATTGATTATTTTCGACGTGAAATGAGTTGTCGAGTTGGTTTAGGTTCTCGAGCTGATGTTGAAGTATGAAATTTATTCATTTTTTTAAATATAATCGGAAGAAATAAAGAGATTCTTATCGTTTTTTTTAGCAAGGTTATTCTCTTTGTGAAATAATTAAATGTGAATATCGGCTTAATATTGATATTGATATACGAATAACAACATTCAAACGAGTTTTAACAATTGCTCGATCAACAAATGATCGAAGTTTAATTGTAAAATAATATGAAATGTTGTTTTATTTGCTTCTATATTAAATTTATTTTATTATGAAATAGAGAATGGCAGTTGCACTTGTATTTGCTATGAAATTACGTGATCCAACTATATATTTAGATGAAGATCTGGAAGAATTTATATCTAATATTCAACCGCCTATAACAAAAGAAAATTATAGTGAAATTTTACGTCGTTCAGAACGTACTAATAGTGAAATAACTGACTCGTCACAATCAAATGATGATGATGATGATGATGAAGATGAAAATAATGGAAATGAAAGTGATGATGATGATGCAATTTTAGCAACAATTTCAGATGAATCTGAAGATGATGATAATGAGGACGACGACGAATTGGATTCAACCATACGTGGTAAAGGTCGACAGGTAAATATCTATTATTATAAATAACTAATTTCTTTATTTATATCCCTTTTTCTTTTTATAGAGAAAAAAAATTTCGCGAAATTGTTATGGTGAAAGTCGTTTACATTTAGCTTGTAAAGAAAAAAGTGGTTTAAGAAAAGTTAAACAATTTATTTCCGAAGGAGTAAAAAAATCATTTTAATTTATTTTATTTATATACATTTATATATATCCATAGGATGATATTAATTTACAAGATAATCATGGATGGACACCGTTACATGAAGCTGTTAATCATGGACATATTGATATAGTTCGATGTGTTCTTGATTCTAAAGCAAATATTAATATAAAAGCGAATAATGGAATAACAGCTTTAATTGATGCGTGTAATAGTGGACAATTAGATATCATTGAAGCTTTACTTTCATATGGTGCAAAAACAAATATTCGTACAAATAATGTTTGTTTATTTTTTTTCGATTCTTACTTTCTTTTAAATAGGTATATATGTTTAACTATTTTAGGGTTACACAGCTGTGGATTATTTGACATTGTATGATGAAAATATGTCACCAGATGATCGTAAAAAATTTAATCGACTAAAAGAATTACTTTTAGCTTCAATGAGAAGTAATTAACTATTATTAATATCTTGAACATATTTTTAAGTACTATAAATTTTTATTATTTAGAGGATGAGCCAACATATTGTACACAACGAGTTATTCGTAGTGATTTTGGTAACGAATCAGATGAAGAAGAAGCGTAAGAAAATAATATTAAAATTTGTAATTCGAAATTATATATTACTGCTTAATAGAACATTAACAATGGAACATAATTCTAATAGTAATGATAGTGTCGATGATGTTTTAGAAAAAACTACCGATAAAAGACTACAATATAAAAATATAATGAATAATATTCGACGAGGAATTCAAACAGATGAGGATGGTACAAATAATAAACGAGTATGACTTCTTGTTTTTCTTCGTAATAATGATTTACATACTATACTTATGATTTAGTCACCTTTAAAAAAGAAAAAATCCAAATTAACACCATTTGTATCCGATGCTGAATATGAACGAACAAATGCAAATGAAAAACATTGGGTAGTTGATGATAGAGAACCTATTGAAATCGGGAATCCATCTAGTTCAACAAAATCACGAAAACAACGCCTTCAACGATCACGTTCACCATCAGCATCATCATCACATACACCAGCAAGTAAACGAAGACGTACAATAACTGATGCTAAATCACCATTAAAAACACCTCAGACTATCTCTCATCTTCCTCCTCCTCCCCCTCCTCCTCCACTTTTACCAGCATCAAACGATATCGATATTATAAATTTTGATGATTTGGATTTATTTTCACCATTAAAAAAAGAATCACCCGCACCATCTAATCATACTCCATCACTTTCACCCGTTCTACAAGTCATGACACCAAAATCAATAACTCGATCACGACGTCCATCATCAACATCATCAATCAATACAATAACAACAACAACCACAACTACAACTAGTCTACCACCACCTTCAATATCACATGACACAACTACAAGAATTATTCGTTGTTTAGCAAATACAAATCAACGAACAAATGAAGATAAAAAACTTCGAATACCCATGTAAATTTTAATTAAAATTATATTACAGAAAAAAAATCAATATTCATTTTTAGGTCACCAACAGATACATTATCTAGTCTTCGTTATCAAGTTCTTAAACGTCTCTATGATAATTTTAATATTTATGCTTGTTCAGTTACATTATATGACCGTCAAGATTGGGAATATATTTTTTTAATCATTAGATAAAAGCAACTTATATTGAAAAGGATCCAATTGTTGTATATGAACAACTTTGTAAAGCAAATAAAATTGGTAAATGTTGAATGAATTGATTTCTTTGTTTTTTTTTATAAGTAAAGAACGCATTTTGTTTTCTTTTGTAGCTGCTTATTCAAATATTCGATCGGCATTGAAATTATTTTTTGATAAATTTGAATTATCTCTTCAACGATTAAGTTTAAGATTAGAACAAACAATATGTATATTACAAGTCTTTGAAAATTTCATGTTTATTTATTCAATAAATTTATCAGGTAATTTATATTTATCATCCTATTGTTTTATTTTCTAAATTATTCATTTTTCTTCTATTAAGAGAATAATCTAACTGATGGTATATTTGATCAATTAGGAAAATTATCTCTCGATCAACTTAAATCATTAAATCTTTCACAAAATAAATTTACTTCAAATGGAATACGTAAATTATTTGAACAGAAAACTATGGTAAATAAAAACAAGTCAAATATTTGATCTATTTTTTATCTATTTAGAATAATTTACTTCTACTTGATTTAACTGGAAATATAGATATTGATTGTGTTACATTAACATTTATCCGATCTCGACATCCAAATATAACTGTATATCATTGAACAGAATTTGTACTGTTTTCTTTTTGTTTAAATTGAAAAAAAACAAAAAATGAATTTATTACAAATAAAAGTTACATTGGCTACTATTTTTTTTTTCTAGATATGACTTCATATTTATGGCCATCATCACCATTAGCAACAATTACTATTCTAGTCTTATTACATTGTATTCCTGCTAGTTATCTTGGTCTTTTATGTAAATTTTATATTATAATTTATCTTCTTTTTATGTTTATTGGTTATCTATTTTCATCAAAACGACAATCAAGAAGTTTACCTCTCGTAGCTAATCGAACATCTTATGCACTTGTTACTGGTGCATCATCTGGAATCGGTGCACAAATCTGTCGATGTTTAATTCAACATGATTTTAATTTAATTATGGTAGCAAGATCACAAACAAAACTTAATCAATTAGCAGATGAATTTAGACAAATCAATCCTAATATTAATATTCATGTAATTATTCAAGATCTTTCGGAATCAAATGCAGTCGAAAATTTAATCAATAAAATTGATACATTAAAAAATACTAATATTGATATAATTATTAATAATGCTGGTCGAGGTTATTCAAAACCATATCTTCAAACAGATATAAACGATAATGTATATGAACAAATGATTGCTCTTCATATTCGTGCTCCATCTCTTCTAATTCGTCATTATTTACCAAAAATGTTAGATCGACCATCTCGTATTGTTAATATTTCAAGTGAAATATCTTATATGTCATCACCACGTGCAGTTATGTATGCATCAACAAAAGCATTTTTAACTCAATTAACAACATCACTTGATTATGAAATTGAACAATTAAATGATAAGAATAATATTTCATTGTTATTAGCTACACCTGGACCAGTATTAGATACTGAATTTGATCGACATGATGAATCTATTGTTTTTCATCTTCCATTTGTAACATTAACAGCTAAACAAGTAGCTCAACAAATTGTTGATGCTTGTTTACGTGGTGATCGTTTTTGTACACCCGGTTGGGCTAATCAATTAACTATATGGTTAATGACAAAAGTTCCATTAAGTTTTGCACATTTAATTTGTTGGCTTTTATGGGCATCATGGCCAGAAGTTAAACAATGGTTATATGAACGACGACATCTAGTTATTATTTGTTTTAATTTAGTATTTTTTCTTTTTATACTTGCTTGTTTTTTTTCAGTTAAAATAAGTCGACAATTATATTATCGATTTTTTTAAGAAAAAGAAAAGGTGCACTAATAACTTATTTTTTTGTTTTTTCTAGATGGATAAAATTGTTCAGAATCTTAAGAAACAATTGAAAGAGCCCAAATCTGTAACAGTCGAAGATGGTAAAGAAAGTTTATCTTTTAAGATTTTATTATTATTATTATTATTATTTAGAATTGGATTTATTTACAAAATATTTGAAAGAAGAACGTAATGCATCTCATCAGAATGATCTAACACCAAATAGAAAATTGGATACAAATACAGATGTTACAAAAGCATATTCTCAACAACATATGCCAACTATACCACGATTTTATGAACATGTATATTTATTGTTAATTGTATAGATTGATATGTATATAGTTATATTTAATTATAGATTCCAAATGATCCACTTGGTATGAAATTACGTGAAGAAGCACGAGCTCTATTTCTTCATCGAAAAAGTCAAGAAGTGATTAGCAGTGATGAAGCAAATGTAAAGAATAAAAATTAATGAAATAAAGAAAAAATAAAATTTATGTATTTTTCTAGAATTTATTAACATTATTAGAAGAAAATGCTACACCTCCACATGATCCTGAATCACCAAAAATAAATTATGATGATTTTATACGTGTAGTTCAAAAATCAAGTCCAGATATTGCGTATGTTATTATTAAATTCTATTTTTAAACATATACATATAAATTCTAGAAATCTCTTTCCACCAACATTATTTGCTGATCTCTATCACAATGATCCTTATGGTCGTGTACGTATACTTGATTTATATCAATACACAATGCGTAAAATGTGGTATTATCATTCACGTATGGGTTTATCACTTTATGATAGTATTGGCCAAGGAAATCTTCGAGAATCTGTAAAAAAAACAAATTATATTTTAATTCTTCACATATTTGAATTATTTTTATAAATTTTCAGGATCTCGAAGATTATATATTAGAATTAATTCCAACAATGCATCAATTATCACAATTACAAAAGACATTTTATAAATTTTATGTTTGTACAGCAGTACGAAAATTTTTCTTCTTTCTTGATCCATTACGTACAGGACGTATTGCTATACCAGATATACTTTGTAGTGGTTATCTTGATAAATTACTTGAAGTAAATCGAACAAATTAATAAATAAAATAAAAATAAAATTTTTATTTAGTTACGTGAAGAAGATGCTGATCTAGATGATCTTGAACAAAATTGGTTTTCATGTCAATCAGCATCAAAAATTTATACAAGATATTTACAACTTGATAAAGATCATAATGGTTTATTATCACGAGATGAATTAGCCAAGTAATATTTTCATATTTAGAAAAATATAAATCTATATTTTATTAATTATAAATATAGATATAATTCAAGTACTTTAACTCCAGTATTTATTACACGTGTTTTTCAAGAATGTTTAACATATAGTGGTGAAATGGATTATAAATCATATTTGGATTTTGTTCTTGCACTTGAAAATCGAAATTCACCACAAGGTCTTCGTTATCTTTTTCAAATTATGGATGTTGATAATAAAGGTTATTTACATCCTGGAGATTTAAATTTCTTCTATCGAGTAAATCATTTTTTGGTTTGTTTTAACAAATTAAATTGAAAATTTTTTTTGTTGTAAAGGGAATGATTCAAATGTTATCAACAAGACCATTAACAGAAGTACCACCATTTAATAATGTTCAAAATGAAATATTTGATATGGTTAAACCTGTTGATTCAATGCGTATTACATTGAAAGATTTAATTAATTGGTTAGTTCTAATTCTAAATTTTATTAAATCATCTTGATAATAATGACTAATAGAAAAATTTTACTATAATTTTAGTGGTCAAGGTGGTTTAGTACTCTCAATTCTTATTGATATTAGCAGTTTTTGGACATATGAGGTAATGAATATTCATATGTTTATTCTTCTTGATATTCATTATTATTATGTTTAGAATCGTGAAAGTCTCATACCTCAAGCGGCAACAACAAAAGATGATTCAATTCATGTCTAATATCCGTCCAAAGAATAATAATTCCAATAACTCTTTATTTGTTTGTTTGTTTGTTTGTTGTTTTTTTTGTCTACTAATAGTTGTTTGTATGACTAATACTCACAAAGAATGAAATCTTAGAAAATGAATTTTTTTTATAAAGTAAAATAAATATTTCAGACAAATATTTTTTTCAATGATATGAATACGAATAAATCACCTTCATATTTACATCAATTTTCTTGGGAAGAATGGGATACTCAAATGATTGTTGTATTATATCGGTAATCATTTCGATTATTTATTTTTGAATGAATTTTTCTTAACTACAAAATATTCATAGATCTGATCGACGTTTCGTTGTTAAACGATATCTTGAACGAGTTCTTGCAAATTCAACTCAATGGCGACAATTAACTCAATTATTATTTTCAAATGTCGAACCCATTACTAAAGCATATACAATGACAGAGAATGAAGTTAAATTAATGCATCAAATATTTTCATGGCATATGAATGAAACTTTAAAATTTCCAATTATTGGTGGACGTATGTAGGAAAATTGTTTTTTGATTAATTATAAATTATTTATAAATTAGTTGATCAATTACTCGATTGGGAAGATGTACTTGATTTTATCGAACGTTTACAACAAACTTCAAAAGATAATAAAAATAATAACCTAACATTATTACATTCACCGTCGATTTTACCAACAATTCCTATTGGAATATCATCATCAACATTACTTACAAAAAAACCCATAGAAAATAAAAAAGATATTTCAACACCAACTAAAATAAATAAAAGAGGTACAGCTAATATTAGAAAAAAAAGCTTAATAGTACAGCTTCGCTGCGGCTAAAAATACACAACTCATGTATGAAAGATACCTGATTAACTTATTTCTGAAGGGTAGGAGGTGAAACGGAAAATTGAATTTTTTATTTTAACTATAGTTCGACCACAACAATTAATTTCTGAAAGTACATCATCATCTTCATCAGATCATTGGGTACAAATAAATAATATTTGTGTACCTTATATAATTAAATATCAACAAATACGTTTTCTTCCATATCAAGTTATACTTGATTGTGATTTACTTACTGAACAAGAACAATCATTTCTTATTCATTTTACAATAAAAGCCGATGGAAATGATATTCAAACATTTGAACGAACTATATCTTCATCATCTTTAATAGATTTTACATTAAATAATGATTTACTTCTTATTGATCTTTATCATTTAATATTTGGAATGTCAAGAGTTGTCTATATTAAATTACTTCCTAATCAACGTGATGTAAATAAAAGTTATAAAACGTATGAAAAAAAAAATTTTTTAAAAAATTATCTTTATTTATGAAATTATATTAGAAGGGATATTCAATGAATTGACAAAATTTTCTTTGTAGTGTCTTGGCACAACGTGGTGGTACGATTAACATTCGTTCTCATTCAATTCCATTTATTAGTCTTGGTAAATTCGATTATATTTTACTTGATTCTTTAATGACTACATTACAACCAACAACAAAAATTATAGCGAATTTACGACGACAAGCTCCGCCTGCTCAATCTCATGAAATTGATTATTTTCGTCTTATACAATTCTATCAAAAAGATGATTCTATTCTATTACATCAACAACAACAGCAACCACAATTGCTTATAAGTACTCAGGAAATTTATAAATATATCAATAAGGATAGTCTTGTTAATGATATGACACTAATACAATATCAACAGATTGAATATCAAAAAATGCGAAAAAAATTAGATACAATGGAAAATAAAACAATGAAAAAACCAACAAAACGCGCAAAGGAAATCTAACAATGACTGAAGTTTAAAATACAATACGAGAATAATAATAATTATAAGTAAATATTTCTTTCGTCATAGTCTTCTTCTTTTTTTCTTTAATATTTCTATTAAATCAAATGTCATATATTCTATCGTTGTGAATTTAAATTCAAATATGTATTTTAAGAAATAAAATCATAATGATTTATAATCTATTTTTGTTTTGTTGAATATGATGACATTGATAGAGAATGAATAACAATAATCAAAACAATACAATACAATCATTTTCTATTTACAAAATAAAAGAACCGAAGGTATCTGTTGTTGTTATTGTTATTGTCGATGAAAATTATTTTTCTTCTTATTATACATACTCATTACACATATTAGACAGTGTAAAATACTATCAAGGTTATAAATATGTAAGTGTGTAATTCAAACAAATGAAAAATATTATGTTTGTATGAAATGATCTTTATGAATGAAAATAAAGATGAAATAAATTTTTCTTTGTTTTGTATAACAGTAATTCTTAGTGTCAGGATGACCTTTTATTTTGGTTTTACTACAGAACAATCATCGTTATTCTTTTCATATTGAGACATATGTTCTTCAGTTATCTGTGTGATTTTCACTTATGAAAAACTTATAAATTATTTGCTTAAATGATCAATTAAATAAGTTTTTATACCTCTAAATCAGTCTAGAAGAATTCATTTTTCTATATCCTTTTTGTATTATTGAATTATTTCACATATTCAGTAGTCATTAAAGATCGACATTCGTTTTCTTAATATTTGAATAGTTTATTAATATCACGACAAATAACGCACTATATAATCATTTTGAAAAACGATCGTTTTTTTGTCTTATTACTCTAATCACTCATGATAAAAATACTTTTGAAATTAATCTTGCATTAAAGTATTCCTAATATGTAATTCGAAATTGTCAATAATTTCATAATTATTTTTCATATATTTAGAAATGATAAAATGTAAATGTTGAATACTTTAGTTTAACAATGCGACAAGACTAAAAGAATTCAATAATGATCAGATTATTTTTCGACCAATAAGATTTCGTTCTAGACCCTCTCCTAAGTCTTATAATAAAAAATAAAAAAACAAACAATATTATAAATAAACTAGCATTTAGTATTCATAATAAATGTTTATATAACGATGAAATTAGTAATTATTTTGCTTCATGGAATTTCTTTCGTGAAGCAATTAATTATAACCAATCATTGTTTGCCAAAAGTGCAATGATCATCACTTTTATGTTATTCTAGTTGATACGATATATATATGGAAAATAATATCTATTAATTCTTTTTCGATTAACTATGTTTTATTTCTTTATGTTTCTTTTTCGAGATTTCGAATGAATAATTATCTTTCTCGATATCAAAAAAAGGTATAGCTAAAAATATAATTTCTTTTTCCGTTAACTATTGCTTTGATAGCTTCCGAAGGGCAAATAATCGACATGTTTATTTATAGAAGTCAACTATATTTCAGATCATAATGAGAGGATTAATTCTTCTTGGTTTTGTCTTTGTTGTTTATGTTGCATCAACAGCATTTGGTGCTGAAGATAAAGTTAGTTTTGATAAAATTTGTACGTTAATTTTATTATTTGTTCTTTTTTGTTTTATTTTTATAGCTTTATGTAACAAAAAAAGTTTATTTCGATATTGAAATTGGTGGCAAGAAAGAAGGTCGTATTGTTATTGGTTTATTTGGTGATGTTGTACCAAAAACAGCAGAAAACTTTGCACAATTAGCAACTGGTACCAAAGGTTTCGGATATAAAGGCTCAAAATTTCATCGTGTTATTAAAAACTTTATGATCCAAGGTGGTGATTTCGATCGGGGAGATGGTACTGGTGGTAAAAGGTAATAGTAACACTCTATTATCACCAATTACATATATATGTATATATAATTTTAGTATCTATGGTGCTAAATTCGCTGATGAAAACTTTACATTGAAACATTATGGTGCTGGATGGCTTTCAATGGCTAATGCCGGTAAAGATACCAATGGTAGTCAATTTTTTCTTACAACAGTTAAAACTGAATGGCTCGATGGTCGACATGTTGTTTTCGGAAAAGTTCTTGAAGGTAATTTATTCTTTTCTTTTATTCATTTATTTTTAATTCTTTTTGTTTTGTAATATAAATTAGGTATGTCGATTGTACACAAAATTGCGAATGGAAAAACAGGTCCAAATGATCGTCCAGCATCAGATGTTGTTATCGCTGATAGTGGTGTTATTGATGTACCAAGTAAACTTGCCGTCGAACGAGCACCAGTCGATGCTAAAGTCTAAATAAATAAAGAAGACATTAAACAATTTGTTATTCATTATTAGCTTATTATGTGTGTGGGAAACTTTTCTTTTTATTATATTTATCACGTGTATCCACATGATTCTTTTTTTAAATACATAATATAAAAAAAACCAACAATAATATTCTTTTTCTTTCTTCTGTTCTTTTTTTTCCGTTCTGAATATAAATGTTGATTCAATATAGATGATTTAATGTAGATGATGCAATGTAGAATAATGTATTAAAAAAGAATAAATTGAGCAACATTTTTTTCGAGAAAAATGAGTTCTATTAGAAGAGTTATTCGGGTAGGATATTTTGAATAAATTAATTAAATTTCTGTTATTTTTCTTATCTAGACTATATTTTTCCGATCATTTTGTATATCACGAATGGATGAATCAACAAAACCTAAACGTAATCGTGCAGAGAAAAAAAGCAAGAAACAACAAAAAAACGATTCGAAAACTGAAAAAATTGATGATAATGTTTTCAATGAAGATACTCAACAGCAACAGGTTTATTTGTTGTTGTATTCTACTTAATGCTTCCACTCTCTCTCTTGCATGCATGTTTGTTATGATCTACTGATTCAACTGCTTATTTCATTTAATATATTAATAATAATGAAATTTATATATATATATTTCAGAAATTACCTGAATCAGATATACCAAAAGAAATTATTGAAACGACAACAATGTCTTCAATACCTAATCGTCCAGCATCATTAGCTTCATCCGTAGCTTCGATCACAAGTAATCAAAATCCTTCGGTTTCAAGTAAAAAACAACAAGCTAAACAAAGTAAACCTGCAGCATCAGGAGGAAAAACTGCTTCGGAAGCAACTTCAGTTAGTGATATTACTGAAATCAGTTAGTTGAAATCTTGTTCATATTTTTTGTATGAAAATAATTTGTTTATATTTATTAAAGCTGAACATCTTGCGACTACAACTATTCAACAAAATCCTCATGGTCCACCTATATCTATCCCACCAAAAGTCCTATTATCAAAAGCTGAACGTCGTGCTAAACAAGTGATTCATTTAACTAGAGAAATATTTTTCATATTTGTTTTCATATATCTTCTAGGAAGCAGAAAGAGCTGCTAAATCATCGAAACAGAAACCAGGTACATCCACTCCAAAACCCAATGAAACACCACAAGCATCTGCAATTTCAAAGAAACCATCCACTGATCATACTCCTACACCATCCATATCAGCACATTTATCAGGTAAGAGATAGAAACTATGATAAGACATTCATAATTTTGAAATTCATTCACTATCTCTGTTGAATGTCTGAAAATATGTGTTTGCACTTTCTATAAAGTATGCAACACAACAGTATTAAGTTCCGGAATCATTGATATTAATAATCATTGTAATTTTAAATTCAGGATCTCATCGACCTCAATCTGAAATTAGCGAAGCGGGAACTTTAGTCAGTTCAAGATCAGTAAGACCAACTACAACTACTTCAAGTATAATTTCCAATCAACCTCAACAAAAACGTCAACCAAAGAAAGCCAGTAATGAACGTGTAACACTTTTTTCTCATCTTACAATTTATTCACGTACCCTTGAAAAACTTTCCATGACGTCGTAAGACATATAAAACATATTTTATTTATTTATTTTATATCAAACTAAATTTTAGTGACTCAAAATTAGTACATCCAGCAATTATTAAATTAGGTTTACAATATGCAACAAGACAAATTGTTGGTTCTAATTTACGATGTGTCGCTTTTCTTGTTGCAATTCAAAAAGTATGAAATATTATTTCTTAATATATTTTCATAAGTATACATTTGTATTATCTAAAATATTAGATGATTGAAGATTATGAAGGTCCAGCAGGTTCAAATAATTTATCCATACTCGATCCTGTTGATCTTAACACAAAACTAAAAATGAATATCAAGTAAATAAAATATTGTTTTCTTTTTAAATTTTTAATAATTTCTATATAGTTTTCTTACGAAATGTCGTCCAAATGCAGTAACAATGGGCACAGCTATACGCTATTTAAAAACTCATATTGAACGTATACCACGTAATATAACAAATGAAAAAGCAAAAGAACTATTAGATGATGTTATTAAAAGTTTTTTACGAGAAAAAATTGAATTATCCGGTACAGCTATTGCCGAAACATATGCTATTACAAAAATTACTAATGGAGATGTTATTCTCATATTTGGATAGTAGGTTTAATTTGAAAAGACGAAAAAACAAAAATAAATTTCCTTTATTTCTAAATATTTAGTTCATCATTAATAATGCGTATCTTAGAAGTAGCTGTTAGACGTTCAATTGATTTTCGAGTTATTATTGTTGATTCTCGTCCTCAACAACATGGTAAAAAAAAAAAAAAGTTTATTTAAATAAATTTTATTTCTATAAAAATATTTTCTAAAAGGACTTAAATCAGCTCGAAGATTATTATCATTAAATGTTAAATGTACCTATGTATTAATTAATGCTGTATCATTTATTATTTCCGAAGTTTGTTTTTTATTCTATCTTTGTATATATATATTGATTAAATAAAATTATTTATTAATTAGGTAACAAAAGTATTATTAGGTGCACACGGTTTACTTGGAAATGGTTATGTTATGAGTCAAATTGGTACAGCACAAATATCTCTTATTGCAAAAACACATAATGTACCTGTACTTGTTTGCTGTGAAACATATAAATTTTGTGAACGTGTTCAAACTGATAGTTTCGTTTTTAATGAACTTGGTATAGAATATTAATTGTTCAAAACATTATAATAATAAAATATTTCTTTAATTATTTAGGTGATCCAAATGATCTAACAGCTAATCATCCACTTCTTTCTGCTGCTATACCATCATCATCATCATCATCAACAACAGCAGATGATTCAAATTCAAATTTGAATATTCTTAATATGACTTATGATGTTACACCACCGACATTTATTAGTGCTGTCATTACAGAATTAGGTATTTTACCATGTACATCAGTAGCTGTTGTTATACGTATGCAAAATAAACAATTAGATGAAATATGTGGACAAGAGCAACAATCAATAACAACAACAGCAACGACTTCGAATATGAACGTACATAATCCGCCTCTAGAAACTGTTTAATAAAATGAAAGATTATTTTCATTGTTTATTTTTCTTTCTTTATTGCCTTTTATTGAAAAAAATAAGATTTTACATTTTCTTCTAATATTTTATTTTAATTAAGACAACAGATTTATTGAGAGAGAGAATTTTTATCGTATGAACGATATACCAATAAGAATAATTATGATTGGTAATCAACAACCAATCGATGAATAAATCCATAATTTATTTTTATTGATAACTACCAGTACTAAATATATCAAAGTAGAATCTATTCTGATGCAAGAAGAATTTCGAAATTAGACATGATTTTATGTTACATCATCTTTTATATATTTCATTAGCTTTTATTCAGATTACATTAAAAGATAAGCATTTTTAATATTTAAAAAAACAAATGGCTGATTTTGAATATCAACAACCGCAACGTTTTCGAATTACTAATAAACAACGTGATGAAGAGAAAAAACGAAAATCAGGTTCATCTGGTGGAATACCTGATAGGTAAAAATAATAATCGAAATTTGATTTTTGTTTTCTCTAAATCTTTCTTGTAGATGGCTTGATTATATAGGTGTTAATTCATGGGTTGAAAATACTCGTTTTATTGCATTTAAATGTCCATTAAAACCAGTTTGTTATTATTTTTATTTGTTTTCATATTTGATTTGATTTCTAGGAAATGCAAAAACATTTAATTGATGAACGACGTTTTACATTAGGTGATCTTGTTGAACAACTTGATGATAAAGGAAAAGAACTTGGTTTAATAATTGATTTAACAAATACTGATCGATATTATAAAGCAACTGTTAATTCTATTCATTTTATTTTATCAATCGAATATCTATATATTCTTGTTTATTAATAGGATATTGCTGATGCACAAATCCAATATCATAAAATGATGACACCTGGTCATAATCAAATACCAAATGAAACATGTTATCAACAGTTTGCAACTGTAGTACGAGAATTTCTTGAACAGAATAAAAATAATGGTAAAATTAAATATTATAGTTCAATAGTATTTTTGTTCTTTTTTTTGTTAGATAAATTAATTGGTGTTCATTGTACACATGGACTTAATCGAACTGGTTATTTAATTGTGAGGTAATAGAAGAAAAAGAAATAATAGTTGATTTTTTTTTCTTATAATATATTATTTAGATATATGATTGAAAATATGAACTTTCAACCAGATGAAGCTTTAGAAGGTATAGAAAAATAAAAACTTAATAGTTTTTTTTTGATTTATGATTTAAATTTAAGCATTCAATCGTGCTCGTGGTCATTCAATGGAAAAATATACAGAAGATTTATTAAAACGTACATCAATTTCGTATGTAATTCAAATAATAGAGTCTATTTAATTATATAATATTTATTTCAGTGCCAATATACAATTAAATACTTCTATGTTAAATTCAGCATCAATCAATAATAATGAATCATTAAATAATAGTCCCAATGGAGATCAAATACAATGGCCAACATTATATTCTTCTGTAGATAGTATGTCATTAGATGAACGACGTATGAAAAAGCAACAACAACAACAACAAAGATCTCAACAAACTCCAAGTTCAACATCAATGCAAAATTATAATAATCAAATTGAACAATCACGTCCAACAAGTTCAGCTAGTAATCGTCTAGGAAATAATACAGTAAGACCACAAGGACATGGTCGTTCGTCTTATTATCAACAAAATACTAATAATAATAATTTTTATCGTCATACATCGGTAACACCTCGTATTTTAAATTCATCCTATAATGATGAACAACATTCCAATCAATCTCCATCGACTTATTTTGGTTCAGGTAGTAATGTTGGACGTGGTCGACCGATGACAAGTGATCATTAATTACTGTCAGATTATTTGTTTTTGTTTTCTTTTTGTCTCTCATTTAATACGAAATAAAATAAAAGGTTTTTCAAATAAAACCATTGTGTTCTCTACTAAGTTTATTCATGCAAAAGTAGACAGAAAAAAATATGACGACTGTGAATAAAGTAACGATATTTAAAAATTTTAATATAGAAAAAGAATGAAGAAGAAAAAGTTCATTAAACACTTGATAGAATGATATGGTAATAGAACTTTTAACATATTTTCTCTTATTTCACTTACAAGTTTACAGTAGTGAAGAAACTATTATTTAATATTCTATGATGGCACATTTACCTAAAACTATAACTTTACCACATAATTCAGTTCTTTTCAGTAATAGTGAACATCATCATGAAATTGGTAGCCATGAAAATCATTCACATGTTCGACAACATCGTCAATCATCACGCTATTCATTTTATCATCATGGACATAATCATCATCGTATTCGATATGAAAATACATATCGAATGGAACCTAATAATGAACATAAACTTGATTTAGTACAAATACGTCGTGTTGCAATAAGTATTATTGAAGCAGCCATACTTAATTATGAATATAATCCAGAACAAGCAACAAAATTTATAGAATTATTAGCTGAACAAATACGTAGTCGAATGAAGCAATTACATTTTCCACGTTATAAAATTATAACACAAGCATCTGTTGGACAAAACAAAGGTCAAGATTTACGTATGGTTAGTAAATGTATATGGAATTCTAAATGGGATCGTCATATAACAATTACAAAAGAAACTTTTAATGATTTTATAACTGTAACAATTTTTTTCATTTATACAGAATAATATAAATATATTAATCATAAAAAAAATTTATCAGTAAAATTGCTATTGTTACTCTTATATATCGTAATTATAAATGACTTGTGAAATAAAAAAGATTGTACTTCAATTTTCAGTTTTCTTTTTCAACTAATTTGAATAATTGATTCTTTGATATTTTCTGTTTTATGAATTATTCGTCACGACAATAACAATATTACAGATTGGTTTTTATCGAAGAAAATTTAATATTTTTTTCTCTGAAAAGTATGATAATCATTTTTTAAATTCAGTTCGTGACGTTTTGATATAAGCATGATATTATTCTCTCTTTCCAATGTCATGAATATAAGAAAAAGTGCCCTTCACTTACTTGCTTCTCTTCCTGCCTTGAAATAATGATCAGATGATAAGCATATATAGACAACAACATATTTGGTAGCGTATGTAATTGATTTTTTAATCTTTTTTTCAATATGAATATTTTATATTTACTTGATAGTGTTTTAATGAAAGAATATAAACAGGCTTAATAAAAACCAATATGTATATATATTTTGCGACTACAAAATACGAAGTGCTTAAAAAATTATTATTTCTTCTTTGATAGACGAAAGTAGAAACGAAAACATGATAATTTTTTCTATGTTAGTTTCTTCAATACTTTTATTAATATTAATGTTAATAAATGTCAATGCTTCAATATGTCCATCTGTTCGACAAACTAAAGCTAACGAATGTTCTAATCCGAATGGTAAGAATATGTCAATGAAAGAATTTCTTCTTTTTCCATATATAAATGTTAGGTAATACATGTCTTTTCATCGTTTGCGAAAATGGTGGACAATGTATTGATGATCCAACAACTGCTGATTGTTTTAAATGTCAATGTTCATCTGGTTACACGGGAAAGATGTGCGATACTCCTCTGACTACTTTTCGTATGTATCTTTTCTTCTTCTTCTTCCCTTCAATCCATATTTTATGTTTATCATTCATTTAGCTAGTAAATGTAATTCTGAATGTCAAAATGGAGGAAAATGTGAATTGATAGCAGGAAATATTTATGGATGTGTATGTCGTGAAGAATTCACTGGTACTCAATGTGAAACTTCTATACTAAGTAAGTAAATTGTTTTACAAATGTAACTTCTTTTCAATAAATGATCGTCTTGTAAGTTAATCATCCATGCATAACAATGCCAACAAGTATATGTCAAAATGGTGGTGTCTGTACAATTCATGGACTTGATTATCGATGTAAATGTGCAACCGGATGGTCAGGCACTAATTGTCAAACAAAAGACCGTATGTCATTTTTTATAAGAAAATATATAAAAAACAAAAATATGAATAAATGTTTTTTTGTATTTTTTGGAAGTAATAAGTTCATGTAACCCGAGTCCATGTGGTATTCATGGTACTTGCTTTGAAGTGGATCTACCTATCGGTCTGACAGCATATTGTACTTGTGAAAACCGATGGACAGGAAAATATTGTGATGTCAATATAGATGATGGTATCATTATCACTTTTTGAAATAATATTGAATTGTATATCCAAGATTATTATATATAAAATATTTTTTAGCGAATTGTCCCACTGGATATTGTCTAGCAGGTGGAACCTGTATAATGAATGGAAATATTCCATACTGTATTTGTCCACCCTTGTATACAGGTCAGCAATGTCAATCTTTAGTTGATGCTTTAGCAACTACTACGACTACGACTACGAGTACTACACCAATAATAATAAGTAAATCATTTTTTTTGAAATTTTACTATCATATCGGAATATTTGACTTTAAGATGTAGGAAGTTGCTTATCAAATCCTTGTTTACATGAAGGAACATGCTTAACGGGCAGCAATAATTTCATATGTGTTTGCAAACTTCCATGGACAGGATTGACGTGTGCGATCGATGGTACTATAACAACAATTCCTATTCTAACGACAACCACAACGGTTTCAACAAGTAAAATTATTTTGCAATTCCAAGTTTTATTAACTAAGAAACATTTTTTTTTGTTATATTTTAAAGCCAGTAGTGCATGCTCTTCAAATCCATGTAAGAATGGTGCAACATGCTTGGGCAATAATGATGCATATAGATGTGTATGTCCACCACTTTGGTCGGGTATTGTCTGTGACCAATTGTTAATCACAGTTACAACAACAGATATAACTACTACCATTACATCAAGTAAAGTTTCGTTTTAAATGTGCAAATTCTTGTAGAAATTAAGCTATTTGTTTGTAATATCTGCACATCATGAGGCTATTTTTAGATTCAATGACATGTGCAAATCAACCATGTAAAAATGGTGGAACTTGTGTTCCTGTTGGTAATTCATATTCTTGTTTTTGTGGATTAAGCACTATTTATAATGGTAAAAATTGTGATTCAACTACACCAATGACTACGAATGGTATAAATATTTCTTTATATAACTAAATATGTATATTAATTGAATCTCTTTTCTTAAAGAATGTCCATTAAACTGTGCACCTGGCCGTTGTATATTCTCTGGTTATTCACAAAGACCATATGCTTGTTTATGGAATGGAATTATGCGTCCGTCAGAGGGTACTACTGGATAATTAAATTTTAATCAAAAAAGAATTATTAAAAGGCATAAATTAATTATATGTCTTTTTCATCAAGACTATTTTAATTTTTTTGAATAAATGCTTCGTATATTGCATATTAAATTTATTTGATAATTTAAAAATAACTCATTTCAATTCTTTGTTTATGCGTTGCTACTAATTTTGCAACAACTAAATAATATTGAGTACAATTATAATTATCTGAATGTATAGTTTTACAATTAACGATGATAGCTCATGTAACATTTACAGAATCAAGTATCTGTTCTCTTCTTGTAATTGTTTGTCTAAAAAGACGTGTTATTATTGATTCTTTTTTTAAAATTATTAAATAGTCAAAAACCTACTCATAATGTATTCAAAAATGCTTATTATATTGAAAGTCAAAATTTCGGTAAAGCCATTAAAATAAGGAGAACATTAAGTTTTCAATAATTTAGCTTTTGTAATTGTAGTTTAACAATAAAATATAATTTTAAATCAACACTGTTTTTTCTTTCTCAGAGCGAAAATTGTTTTTCTCTTTGTTCGATATATACTTTGAAATCCTTTAATCTAACAATAATTAGAAAAAAGTATCACAAATAAATTGAATAAAATACTGAAATGTGATACAGCGTGAGTATTATCTGGAATCGATATCTATCAATTAAAACAATTAATTCGAACAACAAAAGGTATGACGCTGAAAATAACTTTCTAATCCTTCTTTAAATGTCCTTGGACGATTTTACAGATATATATCTTGCTGCTTATTCACCACAATACCATTCGTTTTTTTATTCAAAAAAAAACTCAATATAATATGAATCGATCACTGCTTGTGTTCTTACTAGCAGTGTTGCTATGCTCAATCGCTAATGCACATGAATATTTAACTATACGGCAAGTAGACAGTGAATGCCAAACTCCAGAACGTATGATATAGCACTATTGATTTTTTTTCGAAAAATCATAAACTCATATATATTTTAGTCAACATGTGTCAATATGTGAAATGTGCCAATGCAGGCACATGTCGACAGACTAATACTTCTAGATGTTTTACATGTGACTGCCCGCTAGGTTTCAGTGGTGCTATGTGCCAGAACAAGGATGAAATTCTTAATACAAGTAAGATCATTTAGACCAAGATTTTTCACTACATGAAAGTATATGCATTCTCATTTTAGCCAATCTATGCAATTTCACTACCTGTTACAATGGCGGTAGCTGTGCTGTCTATGGTAATGAAACTTATTGTTATTGTCCATACCCATACAGTGGTCTTTATTGCGAGCAGTCCGTCTCATTAAATCCATGTGATAACTTTCATTGTTTTAATAATGGTAGCTGTGTGTCTTATAATGGAAGTGCTCAATGTATATGCCCTCAAAATACATCAGG